TTTAGGGTTAAGGGTTTGGGGTTAAAGGTTACAACTTAAGGGTTTAGGAGTAAAGGTTTAGGATTGAAGGTTAAGGGTGGAGGGTTTAGGGCTCAGCGTTCTTGGGTTACAATAATAGAGCATCAAATGGACAAGAAGTAAAATTCAATGGCAACCGCATTTAAGTCCTTCACAAGCAGCCCAGGATTTCGAATGCGTTTCCGGTGGGCCATTGGTCTTCACATGCTTGAGCCTCAGGGGAGTTGTATTTGAAACAGTGGTAGGCAAATAAACCTAAAACTTTGAAAGCCCTAAGGTTTAGGGTTTGGGTTTTAGGGGCGTGGGTCTCCATATATAGCGTAAGACCGTATACCCCCTTTGGGTATTATAAGAGGACAGCTATACTCTATCCACTCACCAATAACTCACCCCCTGGTTCGACCGGCTTCGTAGGGGTGATTTCTTGTAAGAAAGCGTACTGAGTGCTTCAGTGGGCGCCTTTATGACCCACACACGATCCGCAGCCAGGGCTAGATGTCGGGCAAAGCATTATCGAAACACCACTGAAAACGCGGGAAAATTAATCCAGTTCCAGGCGTTGAAACATGAAGCCTCCCTTTTGTCCCGAAGATTGAGAGATCCCTGAGAAGACCAGACAGGAACCAAGCGTGCATTCAGGGAGCGGGACCGGAATATCAGGGGGAAGGTATGTGAGGCTGAAATATAATGGGGGAGCCACACTAATTCCTGTATATACCCACTATGGTAACTAAACTTAAGTTCCTAAACCCCGAACCCTAAACATGTACCCCAGATACCCCATATATCCGTTATACCCATGATGGTAATTAGTTCTAAGTTCCTCAACAGCAGCCCAGGACGCACTTTGGCTGTTTAAGTTGGTGAAAGCCTGTCCTTCTTTCAATAGACATCTCCATACACAACAGGAGCTGTAGTCCGGGTTCCGTAGAGTTGAGGGTTTAGGGTTTAGGGCTTAGGGGGTTATATAGGGGATTATAGAGGGGAGTATTATAGGGGTCATTAAGGAGGATACCAGGAGCTTGAGTCTAGCTCCTATCATCCCAAGTTCCTCCCTCTTAATCCCGCAAGATGCACCCCGATTTGCGAACACTCCAGCTGTGGATGCAAGAAATCTTGCACCACCATATGAGCTGTATTCTAAGTGAGGTCCCGCTGAAAACCGGGACGCCAACCTGCCGGCTCAGCTGATGGGCGGCTTCTGCAGCGTGCACCGCCAAAACTAAGAGCATTGCGGGTCTAGGATTTAGGGTAAAAGGTTTATGGTTTAGGGTTGAGATGTTTGGAGAATCCTTCCCCCATAATATCAACTGGGTAGGCACACTTTACAGGTTTACTTGTTGCATTCTTATTATCCCATTCAATGAAATTGCAGACTCTTTTTGGCCCAGGGAAGTTGCCAGCTGGCATAATAATCCACTGCCCCCCCCTTATAGCCAAAACCCCCTAGAATAAGGTTAAGGGTTTAAGGTTTTAGGGTGTTTTGACGAGTTTTCTCAAGGGGATGGGGTTTATGATGAGGCGAAGGGGTAGCCTAAGCCCAAAGCCAAACCAAGAAACCAACAGTAACCCAGAAAAACAGTTCAGGCACGATGCCAAATTTGCCGGACCCCACGCTTTCTGGACTCCGACCCCCGGCCCGGAGTGATTGCTGGAATGCTGCGCTTTGGGGAGGCACCGGTGGGTTGGGGGTTCAGGGCTGGCGGTTTAGGGCGGAGGGTTTAGGCGCGTGGGATGAGTGCGGATTAGTGTTGGGGGTTCAGGGTTGGGGGTTTGGGAGCTTCGGGTTTGGAGTTTAAACCCTAAACCCTAAACCCTAAACCTTGAGGTTGAGGACTGACAGTTAAGGGTCCAGGGTGGCCCATAGCCCGAAACTCGGAACCCTAAGCCCTAAGCACCAGACCCCGAGAGGCCCATGCCAGCGGCAAGATGCCAGTGAATCTGGGCCATTGCTGGAAAATGTTTGGACATTGTTAGGGTTTAGGGTTTAGGGTTTTGGACATCTTCAGGAAGATTCCAACCCATGTTAAAGAAGTAGTCATAAAATCGTTCCGGGGATGTCAGGCTTTTATTAGGACTTGCAGTTGGGGATTTCTGCAAGCCTTCTGTGGGCGAGTCTACTTAGGCAAGGTTTTGGGGATGCGCCCTTAGGAAATACGAACAGTTAGTTTGAATTTTGTTATGTTTATGTCTAACCCCTATATAATCGTAATACGACCCCAATATAACCCCAATATAACCCTAATATAACCCCAATATGACCCTAATACAACCCTAGTATAACTCCAAAAAACACCAATATAACCCAAATATAACCCCAATTAGTTGACTCATAGTGCATGGGAGTTATCCCTTAACCCAGAACACGAAGCCCAACACTTCCACTGAATCCCCCCCTCCCTGCAAACCTAGGGTTTAGGGTTTAGGGTTTAGGGTGCCCTTCGAAGGTCCCACCTAATTGGATGTAATCAGCTTTAAGTGAGCGTGATTAGGGGGGAGCGGCGGGTGAGGGCTAGCACTGGGAGCTGTGGTTAGGAGAGTCCGTAATTTCGGGAATGGTTTGAGCGGTATTCTTGGGTATACGAACAGTTAGATTGAACTTTGTTCTGATTGTTTGAACCACGAAGCTAAGCCCGAAACTTCTATGGATTCCCCCACACATCCTGTTCGAATACTACCCCGACCAAGGTTTTGCCAGAATTTGATTGAATCAGGGGCGAAGCTGTACCTGTAACCACAATTGCCTGCAGCCTAGTAGGTAAAACCCATAAAGCTGTAGGTACTTGGGTTTACAGGTAAACCCCTAATTCCAGGAATGGTATCTTTGGATACCGGGTGTTCTTCGTGGACGAGTGCGGCCAGCAAGTCGGCCCCACTGTGGGCTACGTTCCGAGAAGTGAGATGCTCTATGCATGCTGCGCGGCTACTGCCTATTCCCTTGACATGTCTGATGTGCTGATTCCGCAAGATGCAGATCAGCTTTTGAGTCTGGGCTTTTCAGATGGAATGTTTGTTGTTTTTCATTTTTGGATCATGTTCTCTGCTTCAAGCCAGCGTAGCCATGGCGCGCTTTCAATGGCATCTTGTGCAGTCCCTTTACTGACCCCTGCTGAAGATGGGGATAAGGGGATAGAAGCCACCGTGTTATACCGGCCATGGCCAGCGTTACTGTCTCAAATTCTGTATTACACCAAGCCCTAAGCTTTAGTCGCACTGACAATCTCAGGATTGCAATCAACACAAGCTTCGGAGAAATGCCTCACGGCACTGCAGTTGAGTACAGCGACTTGACACAAACAATGCCGGAGACAACGCCGCGGGTGGTCACAGCGGATTGTTGCAGCTTTGTTGCAAACAGTTGAGCAGTGTCTTCAACTCAAAGGGAAGAAAACAATCCCCTTACTCCCCACCCCCTGTTAAGAAATATTCCCAACATAATACCGTTTGCACTAGATGAATGAATACGAGCCATAGTCTAAACTCCTAGTATCCCCCCTAATAACCCCTATAGTAGTCCCCTACATAACCCCTATATAACCCCCTTTAAGGAGTTTCGGTTATGGCTCATATGATCTCATATGTATCCTTGAGGGTGCCGAGGGCTCTATTGTTAAGAGGAGGGCATGGCACCTCTTGAGGATTCTGCTTGCCTACGCCGCTGTCATGCAATTAGTAAGATCATATGTTAGGTGGACCCCCCACCCAGTAATAGTGACTATAAGGGATAATAGGGATTATATTAGGGTCCTCTTATATTCTTATTATACCACTATTACAGGGTGGGGGGTCGTCCTAAATCATATGCGAAGTACTGCCCCCACCCAGCAACCCAATAAGCGCCCTATCAAAGATTGAGCGGAAGCAGTATCCACATTCTAGATCCCTCTAGAAACGAACAAGAGCTGTCAAACAACAGAGGCCGGTGGGCTTCCACGTGTAGTTCCTAGAAGGGTGGAGGATTAAAAGGATCTGCAGCATCCAGGAGTTTCCAAATTCGCCTTAGAGAATCCTGAGTACGGATCCCCATCATCTCTTTGTAATCCATGTTTCGGCCGTTGGACCTCCCGTTTTCGACAAGCTTGACTTTGCAACCTCGGGCGCGGTTGTATGGGCCCAGAGCTTTCCTACCTTGAAGATCCCCGGATTAAGGGCTCGTACTGAAGGCCCATACTTTGGACCTAGCGAAGAATATACTGGATGTCTGCCTGAGGCGGTATCCGTGGGCGACATGCCGTTGCTTGGTCAATGCTTTTCGCCAGCTTGTTGCACTCGTTTGGCCATGTCTCAAAATAGCGGTTCCGGACACCAAGAGGGTCCAATACACCTTACAGTGCGAATTTACATGCTGCTAGATTTCTACAATGATTTGAGGTATATGCCTTAGTTAAAAGGTATTGGGCTCCCTGGGTATACCTGTAATAAGCCCTCTTCCATAGGACCTTCAAAGAGGTACCAGAATTTTGAGACACACCCATGTGTTCGATTAGCTTACAGCTGAGTGCGTCTAGGAGGTTGCACGGGCTAATGATCCCTTACCAAAGGATTGGGATCGTTTGCAGTTTTCATGGGCGTCATGTTCAGAATTCAGCGTTAACGATGCCTTGACCATTTTCTCAGTACGTGCCTGCGCAGTTGATGATGCGTACTGGTGGGTACTTACTTGGAGGGTCAGGGGGATTGAGTAAGTATACTTATAACCCTTTTAAACCATATGGTAGTTTTCCCAATTTTTCAGAACCCCAATAAAGACCCCCAAATTCTATAATCCTATAAGGGGGACACTCAAAAAGGTACCACTGATTTTGGGAAACCCGCATATAGCGCGCCAGATACCCCCACTACAACCTGCTTACTTCGTCCACCTGGTCCCCCAAGTACTCCAGTGGGTCAGGAGGATGCGGCACTCTCAAAGAGACTCGCCTGGCGAAAAAGGAGTTAAGCACACAAATTCTGTGTCATTGGGTAGTTCCCCCAATCAGGGTCCCGTTTTGGTCCCCCCTAAATATTAATAGGTGCCGTAATATGATCTGCAACCAAAAGAGGCCCATAGTTCTGAGAACAACCCTAATGATTCCTGCGCTTGCTCAGGAACTGTTGAACTGAAAGAGCTGCCGTGTTGAATTCAGGGAGGTGTTGTTGGTCTAGCAGTTGTTTCGTGTTGCTGACGGGCATGTTAGGTTCATCATGCACTCGTTGGTCTGACTAATTATTGGACAATGTAGGATTTTCGCAAGTGACACCCACATAGCCCATACCTTTTCATGTGAACAGCCCATGACCTTGGTATACTACAATCCCATAGTTCCCAAGGTACAAGGTGCTTAGGGCCATGGAGGATTGTTGGTATCCACTGTATGATACCTGAATGTATACTTGAACACCTTGCTGCCGTAACGGGCAGATCTTTGGGCAAGTGCTTGTTTTCTCTTCGCATTCTGCCTGCTTGGGGTCTGTTTAAAGACTTGGCTATTTCTTGGATTAAGCCCTAAACTCACAATGCCGCACCCCAAACACTGGCCCCACCTAGCCCTTAAACGCTCAACCGTTGAGCCCCTAAACTTGACATTGAGGAACAAAAGCAGAGCACAAGCACAAGGGTTTTTGGTGGGGGATGCCCCTACCTTTTCGGAGTTGTTTCTAAGGCGCTTTAAGGAGGCATATCCCTATTTATCTATTTGCTTGTGTACCTTGCTTACCAAAACCAGAAACATCCCAAACCCTAAACCAAAAATCTTAAACCCTAAACACTACATCCTAAACCCTAAGCCCTAAATCTTAAATCCTAAATCTTAAACCCTAAACTCTCTGGGCTTCTTGTCAGAGCGTCGAAGCCCATTCGTCCTCATGGGCACTAGTGTAGGGTTTCAAGGGCTTAGGTTCTTAGGATTTCGGATTTACGGTTTTAGGGTTTTAGGGCTTAGGGTGTAGTGTTGAAGACGTTTATAGATTCACGGGCTTGTGAATTCTCCTTGACTTGTTGACAATGATTGATCGTTCCTGCCCCCCTTCTGAGCGGAGCCAGCAGTGTCAGCATGAAACCGACCTATAACATGCACACATAAGCGCACGATACATGCCGCTGATCACAGACTGCAAGAATGCAAATTTATGACGCGAAGACCTCAACGGGATTTGAACCTCTTACCCTGGAGTCCTTGGACCCTTAGGAAAGAGTAGTACGCATGCGCAGCTCTCTCCTCGGCTAAGTGGGAACCTCTTACTTTTCTTGACCTCCCGTGTCCAAACCCTCCTGTGCCCAAGAGCCTTTAGCCCAGCCCATCTGAACCCTAAATCCTGTCTGCTATACCTTGCTCCCCGAAGCCCTGAACCTTTATCCTTTAAACTCTGACCACGAACTTCCAAAACCCCCAGTTCCTAAATAAAGTCCCTAAGCCCGAAATCTCTAAACCCCCGACCCTGAAACCTACAAGGCTTTTCAGCTCCCATAGAGCTTAGTTACTGAGTTGGTAACCGTTAAATTTGATAGGTAACAAAGCGGCTGACGTTTTTGGGGGCCAGGAGACCCAACAGCTAGGAAAAGGCCTCAAGCCGAAGCCCTAAAACCATAAACCCCCAAAACCCTAAACCCCAAACCCTAAATCCTAAACCCCTAAACCCCCAAACTTTAAGCCGCAAACCCTAACCCTGAACCCTAGGAAAAGGCCTCCACAGACCCCTGAGCCTTTACATGCCGTGCGGCTTGTGCCTTGATGCTTAAGGCCGCTTGACCTGCGGTTTCTGTGCTGGTTTAGGGCTTGGGGTTTAGGGGTTGGGGTTTAGGAGTTAGGGTTTAGGGTTTAGGGGTTAGGGTTTAGGGTTTAGGGCTTTGGGCTTAGGGGTTAGGGTTTAGGGCTTAGGGTCGAGGGCTTCTGGTTTGGGGTTTCGGGTTTAGAGCTTCGGGCTTGTGGTTTAGGGCAGGCACAGTTAAGGGTTTACCCTTTTTAAAAGAACGCTATGGGCGTAGATCGGGGATGTAATGGAAAGCTGGAAAGTGTGGGTGAATGAAAAGAGAAGGGAAGCTACTGAATGGTGGTTTGGGCTTTATGAGGCTTAGGGATGTTTGTCGGGAATGGCAAGTCAAGTGGAACCGCAGACGGGCAATGAAAGTGAGACTGGGGTCAAAGGGACATGTAGGCTTTAGGGTTTACGTACATGCTGGTTGTTTGTTGGGTTTGGGGGTGTAGGGAGGGGCGGTGACAGGGTGTGCAAGGTTTGGGGCTAGGGTTATAAGTAGGCAAGTAAATTAAGGAGTGGACAAGAAAATGGAAGTTAATCCATTATTGAGAATTGTATAGGGCCTACTATAAGGATCCGTTCGTTCATGACCTAAAAAACCACCCATCTATGTATTGGAGTTTGTAGAAAGGAAGCAAAAAATTGTCAGAGACAACAAATGGGGACTGTCCAGATAGTTGGCATGATTGTTTTCAGCTTTTGAGAGGTTGTCTTTCTTGACCTTTGGTGAGGGCTTGGGGTGTTGGCAGGAGTGTAGGTTGTAGAGTTTAGGGTTTGTGATATTTTGGAGTGTTCTTTTCGTGCTATTTAGTGCGCACGGCTCGTGGAACGCTCCGCAGTTCTTCACAGGGAATCAAGATAAGGAGGGGAAAGACCCGAATAAACCATCAGCAGCTTCCATGTTATTTGCACTCGCCCCGAAGAAAGAATGAAAGAAAGGCATCCGGGACCTCCAAGTTAAGTAGGACGGCAGTGTTTAGTTTCATGGGTTCCCGTACCACCCGCCTATGCTACCCTCCCGCAGCTTAATTAGCCCTACTCGTGATTGTCTTGGGTGGCGGTAGGAGGGAGCCTATAGAGGGGTGGGGTGGTAGTACCCATTAAATCTACTTACCAACTTCCCCGGACCCTTGCTAGGTCGGTGGGGTCGCGGCCAAGGCGGAATTCAAGGATGAGGCCATCCTGGTAGTATTTACACGGTCAGTGTTTTCAGGTCCGGGTATTTACGGTTTAGGGCTTTAGAGTCTAGGATTAGGATTGGGTGTTTACCTTAGGCGTTGGTACAGGGTGTGGGGTCTAGGAGGTTAGGGGTTGAGATGGCTAAGTTTCATGACAGGCTGGAGAAATATTTTTTTGCATGAAGCTACATTACAGGCATCTCGCGTAATTATGGGGATGTTGGTATCCCGAATCAGCCCCTATAATCAGGACCAGAAGAGTCATGGGATAGTCATAGGTGCTCCGCGTTTGTTCAGGTTGGTTGTTGAGTCAATGACAGCTTTTGGTAAAGGGGGCGGGGGCTAATGCCAACAGAATCAGTAAGTAGCAACATCATCTCCCTTGTAACCCCTGTGTCAGCTTCAGTATACTATGCACCAAACTGGCTTCTTATCTAGCCCGTTACATAGGGGCAAAGTTTGGGGTCTAGGGTTTAGGGTCTAGGGCTCAATCTTCAGTGCGTCCCTACGGGGCTGTCCCAGGTTCACACCCTAAACCCTAAGCCCTAAGGTTTTCTCGGGAACCCCTAAACACAAAACCCTTCATACTCACTCCCTACCTCAAGTACCCAGGGTCGAGCGCATTGTGAGGGTAGGCTGCCTGTTCTGTTTTTGGCTTTTTGACCCAAGCCTCAGTCGGGTATCCGTATCCTTTGCGAAAAAATCAAAACCCCCAAGGGTGTTGTGTGTAGCTTTGCGGCAAAATTCTATCCGTATCGCTTGCACCGTTGACGTGATTGTGTGTGGCTGCGATTGGCTACATGCCTCTTACTCTTTCCTACCTGTCCAGCGGGTCCTCTGGCGCCAGTTCGAATTCCGCAAAGCCCAGTAAAACAGGACCTGGTCTTAGATACCCAAACCTAAACCCTAAAAACCCTAACCCCTAAACCCTAGGCCCTAGCCGTGCTTCTCACTGGGGATGGGGTGCCATGGCGCAAGGCGCACTACTCATATGTGCACAGCTTGTTAAGAACAGATGCTCGAGCCCCAGATCCTAAACCCCTAAAACCGAAACTGCGGGGTACCAGTCAGTAGGGGGCCGGACGGCAGGGTCAGGGGTTCGTGGTGTAACGGTACGTAGAGAGAGACCCAAGTTCTCGCAAGAAATGTACTGTTGTGTCTTTCCATTTCTGGGATGATAGTCATGGTGAAGAAGTAGTGCTTCTTAATATGCACACCGTTGGGGCTTCAAGATTTTCGGGTTCAGTACAGCGTATCAGGCTTTAGGGTCTAGTGCTCGAAGATTGTAATACCTACCCTCCGTAACCTTCAAGCAGCAGACAAGGATCTGGAGTACGCAAATAATACTGTTCTAATGCGGTGACTGAACCGTAGGCCAAACAAATCCTCAAAGCAGTTCGGGTTGAACCATCATTCTACGGGTCAGAACTTCATCTTGATAAAGCAGAGCTACTTCTTCATCCACACGATCCGGGAGGGGACGTTCAGTTCGTAGATGGTACTACAGTTACCACAGTCACACAATCCAAGTACCTAGGATGCCTAGTTAGCTGGGAGCACCCGTCCAAAACTGCCATGCAGCATCGACAATCCCCAGCCCACACCCCCTACACCAAGCTCCATCATCTGTGGGAGCACAATTCCTGTTAAGGATAAAGTCAGAATTTTCCTGTCCGCCATTGTACCAGTTCTTCTTTATGCACACCTAGACACCCTGGTTGGTACTTCAGATACTTACGGCCTCATACTATTCACACATTAGCAAACAGAGAGCTTGGAACTTTGCCTCCAAGCCAGTGCTAGCTTCGCAGTTCGTCTTACAACAACAATTTATGCTGCTGAACAAAGCCTTGGCTACACCGCCCGTAGACCATTTTCACCATGTCATCTACACTCCCAGATGTAAAGATAGGGTACGCTTCACCAAGAGATATAAATGCGGACACCCTGGACTGGACATTACTGGTTTGAATCAGTTTCTACTGATGTTATCCAATACACTAACCAAACCCTCTCTGTCCCACAACGCCGAATGGATTTCTTGGTATATTTGCAAACATCACGAGTAAGCCGCAACACAAAAACACACCTGGAGTCTGCGCCGACGCGCCAGCCGAACATGTTTAAGATTTTCCTAAAAAGTGTTGGGAGCCGACCCATACTTTGCCCCCAGCTTTAGGCCCACACCCGAAACCGTGTAGACTTAAACCCTAAATCCTAAATCCTGAACCCTAATTCCTAAACCCCAAAATCCTAAACCCTAAACCCTAAAACCTAATTCCTAAACCCCAAAATCCTAAACCCTAAACCCTAAAACCCTAAAACCCTAAACCCTAAAGCCTAAACCCTAAAACCCTAAGCCCTACAGAGTCATACGCGCTCCTTGGAGGCGCCGTGCCTCACGGGCGGCCTTCCTACGCCCGATTCGGTTGCTGCACAGAAGGACGGTTCTGGGTCTAAACCAGGGCTCTGGGTTTAACTAGGGCTAAAGGTTAGGATTTAGGGTTTAGGGTTTATAGGGCGCCCTAAACCTTAAACTCAGCCTAAACCCTAAACCCCAACACTACATTCTTGTGGTTCAGGGCTTTAGTTCAGGTTTGGGGTTCAGAATTTAGGGCCGAGGGCTCGGAGTTCAGGGAGAAGAATTTCAGTTTCGGGCTTAAGTCTTGCACTTTTACATAAGAGAACTTGGCAACCCCACTACAGTCAGTAACTAGGGTTTAGGGTTTAGGGTTTAGGGTTTAGGGTAATGAGAATCACAGGGTATTTATTTGGGGGTTGGGGTAGCCGACGCCCCCTGATCAGATTCTGGGCTGGTATCTAGGGGCTTCGAGAGAACATACTTGGCATTACCCGACAACGCGCTTCCAATTGCTAGTAGCAGATATTACTTGTAAGGGGCCTTCTTTCTGGGAGAACATATGAAAAATTACTGGGTGCCGGGGATCTATAGTATCATGGGAGACTTTTCCATCTAAGGCATGTTGCCGAATTGAGCCGGGGGGTTGGGGTCCGTCCTATTGGATTGGCCAGCAACCTTCGGACTGTCTAGTCCCTTGTACCCCGATTGAAGCTCAAGCAAAACGCAAGGAGAGCTTCCATTGAAAGGACAGGATGATAACCCCTAACTTGCATCTTAGTGGCCGATTTCAGAAAAGAAGAGGGTTTTGAGGTACATGATACTGTCACTACTGGTTTTAGTGTTTTAACGTTTAGGGTTCCGGGTTGTTGATGGAGGAAATCCTGTACCACTTTGGGCCTCTAAAGTCCCAAGAACTACAGCAGTTTGCCGGCGGGTGGTGCCAGATTTCCTTCAACAGCACGTAGTCAGGGAATACTATTGGTCGGCCTGTGCATCCCCATCCTTCAATTTCCCAGTTGCCATGAGAGCTGGCGAATATAGGGATTCTTTAGGGGACTACTCTGGGGTTATGAATGGGATACTGTATACTCGGAGTTTGGATTATGGCTCACTTCACTGTTCATTTAAGATGCTGCGATTTTTGGTAGTGATTCAGGCCTTCGCCCTAAACCCTAAGCTCGCGGATTTAAAGTTTAGAGAAACCCTCAACCCCAAGCCCTTAAATCCCCCCTTAACCCCAAACCCCCCAAACCCTAAACCCTCTAAACTCTAAACCCTTTAAAAACCCAAACCCCAAATCCCCAAACCCTCAACACCTCAACACAGGAGGCTTACATCGAGAGCCTGGAGCGCGAGCTCCGGGAAGGAGTGGCCAACTTGGCAGAGCAGCATCGCCGGAAGACGGCCGGGATCTTAGCTAATCTATAGGGTTTAGGGTTTAGGGTTTAGGGCTAATCTATATTATAGGGTTTACGGTTTAGGGTTTAGGGCTAATCTATAGTATAAGGTTTAGGGTTTAGGGTCTAAACTCCTAGTATCCCTCTGAATAACCCCTATAATGGAGAATCAAGTGGAAAAGAAGATGGACAATTAACTGGTGATTGTAGAGGTTATAGTCCTAGCACTTGATTAATTTTTTGCCCCCCCCCCCTCCCCCCGCCAGAATTTGGGGCTCCTGGAAATCAATTAGAATTGAATAGGAATGCATTCCTCCGTCATTGGGGCTCTTGGACCTCTATTAATTAAAATGAATAGGACTGTATTGAATATCTCTATTCGCGGGATATGTTCCCCAAATAATTTCTGTAAATCTGGTCCTTGTTCCCCATACGAAGAGCCACCTAATTGTAGCGGGTCTTTGGCAGCTAATTTTACACAAGAAAAATTCTTTGAATATGGACCCTTTTATGAATCAAGTGCTCGGATTAGTCTAAACTCCTAGCATCCCCCTGAATAAGCCCTAGAATACTCCTCTATATAACCCCTTTAAAGGAGTTCAGACTCCAGCTCATCTATTCTTCAAAGTCCAGGACTCAGGGTTTATTGTGTAGCTTTAGGACTGAGGGTTAGGGCCTAAGTCTAGGGTTCAGGGTTAAGGATCTAGGCTTTAGGGTTGAGGGCTCGGGGTTTAGGACTGAAGGTTCTGGCTTAAGCTTTCAGATTTGAGGTTGAGTGTTTAGGGTGGATCCTTACAGCGGCAATACGGTTGATGGACAAGATCTTGCATGTATCTAGTTACAATACACCTTGCGAACATAGGGTCATGCAGGGTTTTTTAGGAGGCATGGCACTGCTACATAAGCATTGGGGGTTAGGGTATTCGGGTCTAAGGTTCAGAGTTTCTTGTTGATTCCTGTCTAATCCGGGTAGAAAAGGATTTTTGGTTGAGAAAACTGTGGGCGGCCTAGCTTTCTTCTCTGTTGGGAGCCCTAAGCCTTGTTTACCTGGACCCCCAAAGTATATAGGATAACGGGCTATTGTTAGGGGTTTGGGGTTATTTTAAATACTTTTGGGGCTTAGGTAGTCTTCTCTCTGCTGGCAGATGGAGGTGTTTGGGCTTTTTAGTCTGTCCATGGGGCGTTCGGGTCAGCATGCGAATCCAGTCCAGCCAGCCTGCGAATCACTAGGGCTGCAAGGGTCTTGAGGTTCTAGGATGTGGATTTGAGGCTTTGAGGCGACTTCCTAAACCCTTAGTCCCAAACCTTCAATCTTTCGGGGAGTTTTGGCAGCGAATCAAAACTTGGCTTCGTAGAATTGCTCTCTCATCTCCTTGAATTCCTTGCTTTCCGCATTGAAGCTTGCGGTGTTGAAGGGTTTCATTACCAGAGGCCAGCGTTGATGTCAACCGCGCAAGGGCAGAAAGGCAGCCCGCAGATACTGATTTCCAAAGCAAGCTCCAAAGAAAGGCAACTGGTTCGTGCGGAATATCCAATTTTCCAAATTCATCCGGGCTGCCTTTGAGTTGAACACCAGCAACTTGGCGATTACAGCTCTTCTCACAGTTGATGCATCCACAGTCCCACAACAGAAAGCACGCGCGGGCCTGTTCATGATATCTCAGGCGAAGCGTTTGCTCGGCCACTTTCATAGTTGCGAAGCCCATGTAGTGCTTCCACCGCATGCTAGATGTGCCCAGGGGGCACCTCGTGACCCTCCAGGTACAGTATACATCGCATCGCAAGGGCCCTCTGAAACCCTTTCTTTGAGAGCCCCCTAATTGTACCACCAGATACACGGGTGAATTAGATTCGTAAAGCGTGCAACAGTAAAGCTCACAGCGGCCGTAGAAGTTAAGGAAAAACCTGATGCAGTCGGTTTATAATGTGCCAGCAAGGATAGTAAGAACACTTCAAAACGGGTTCCCGGTGCTTCTTTTGGAGAGCTTTAAAATCGAAGTCCTCAAGCCAATGTGCACTACCGGTCTAGGATCTTGATCTTGAGCTTACGGCTTATGGCTTCCAATTTGACCTGACCCAATGATCTAATGTGGACGCCCCAGTATTACTTCTATTCTTTCTTTATAGGCCTTTAGGGGCCTTTTGTATAACTGGAGTATAATCTGATTCTGATATCCCCAAAACCTCTTCAATTTATTTCCGCCCCTGCATGGCACCTCGAGGCCGACTGCTTGAACCTCTACTGCGTGCTTACCCTGTGGGCTCCCTACCTCCTACCCAGACAGCCCGATACACCCTTGCGAAGGCAAATGTTTAGGGTCTAAACCCTTAACCCTTAGAGTTTAGGGTTTAGGATACCCAGGATGATCATTGAGAATCAGAATCTATACCCTTAGCATAAGATTCCCCCATGAAGCCTATTAATTCCCAAAGAAATCCCTGCTTAGCTTATCCCCCATTACTACAAGGTTCCTGAACATATTTTTTGTTTTCTGTTACCTAGAATCCTAGTATTTAGCTGAAATTATAATTTCTACTGGGGTTCCAAATCCCTTAGAGATTACGTCACTTGAGAGCAGGACGATCTGCATGCAAGAGCCAATCAGCAGAGGAGTCAGCAGCGCCCCGAGGGTTCAGGGTTTTTAATTTTGGGTTTAGGGTTTAGGGTTTAAGGGTTTAGGGTTTAGGGTTCAGGATGTAGGTTTAGGGCTGTTAGAGGCCTTTTATCTTGGGGTCCTCATACCTGGCATCTTCCCTACAAAGCCTTCAAGGCCCATTCAAGGGTCCTTGCTAGGACCAGGAAGGACCTACTAGGGGCCCACGTTTAGCAGATTAGATATAACTAGGCTATGCCTGCAATTGTATTTTGGTTCGTGACCCATGGACCTCCAACCGGTTGCAGCACAATCAGCAACCGCGCGATGTTGGTTATACAGCGATTATATGGGACATTATATACGGGACCTTATTTCGGGTTTAGGGTTTAGGTTTCAAAGTTTGCGGCTACGGTTTATGTTTGACGGGCTTAGGGAAAGCTTGGCCCCAATCGTAGACCTCCGGGCAGTCAAGCTTGGCGAAAGCACTGTCTGGTATGTGTAGTGGTGGGTTAAAGCGTACCTTAGACCCAACCGTGTACCTTAGACCCAACAGTCCTTCAGTTTGTAAATGCCATACGAGTATTTGCACCAAGGGCGCCCAAAACCTTCGGGCGTAAGGTATACCCCTAAACCCCAACCCCAATATACTACTATAGTAGTTTCCATTTTCTGTTCCATTATCCCTATATGAACCCTATATGCCACTATATAACACCAACATATACACTATTTTTTGCAGTAGTTTTCATTTTCATTTCCATTATCCCTAGTTTACGGTTTGGAGCCCTAACCTTGAAGACTCCATAACTTTCGACACTGGGTTTAGGGTCTATGGTGCAAGTGCCAACTGTCTACCTGGACCCTGCAACGCAGCTCCTTTTTGGGTTTGGTAGGTTTTTTTGGTTAGGACTCTTATTAGGATTGCCAAAAAGGTACTACGGTGGAGGGTCCAGGTAGACCCCACAAACTTCTCGGCCCTACCAACATTTGAATTCCCCACTTCCATGCTCGGGATTTGTGGGGTTTACGTCTGACAAGAATGGTCGACATACCCAAATGTAGCAGTCCAAACAACTACCAACATTGTAGTCTGTAGTTCGAGATTCCCTGCATAAGTATAGTATAGGGCAGCTCAAGCAGACCCCAAGGTGATGTTGGCGATTGTTTAGGTCCCTGTATTCCCTACCATGACCGTTGCAATAGCCGTGGCAGAGTGAAGGATAGTCATGTTAGGTTATAGGGTTAAAGCATTAGGGTTAGGGTCTAGGGTCCAGGCTTCAGGGACTTCAGAGACTTCAGGGTTTTGTTCCTCAGGGTTTAGGGTTTGGGGTTCACGTTGCTGTCGAATTGCCTGAAGAAATGCCAACATGATTCCAGTATACCCTCGGACAGGGCCAACGTATATCATGTCTCAACACCATATTCCAACCAAAGGGGCCCCACAAACAACCCCTGTAAACCCGACATAGCCGCAGCCTCCGCTTCATTTTTCAATTTGCCTCTGCGTTTCCTTCTCCACTATTCCAATTCAGTCGGCCCTGCAACAAATCCCCAAACTCCAAACCTAGCCCGAAACCCCTTGCCTTAAACCCTACCCCCTCAACTCTAAGCTCTAAGGCTTAAACCCTAAAAACGAGCCCTACCTTGTACGCCCTCAAAGTCTGAAGGTTCAGCCTCACGCTGGAGAAGATGGCAGCCGCCTCAGTAGAATACAAGCCCTTAGCCCTAAAATCCAAATGCCGTAAAGACCTAGCACTGCAAAACCAAAGTGACAAGTCTCTGTCTTTCCACCCCTCTCTGTCTCGCTCTTCATCTCCCTCTGCCTGCTCCCTGTCCCTCTTCCTCTCTTTCTTCCCTCGTACCCTACCCCACCGCACCCCGTCAATTCTCTCATAGCCTGCCCTACTGCACCCTTGTGGTCCCGCATCTCCGAAAGCCCGTTCAGATCTTTGAAGTTGTTTTTTGGGTGTAGATTTTTTCTGTGCAGTTTAGAGGTTAGGGTTTGGTTTCGGGCTTAAGGTTCTTTGGAAACCTTTCTTTGTTCAGGGCTTAAATCTCGGGAGGAACGTGGGTGTATGATGGACAGCAGAGGGCCCAAGGCATGCAGATGGTCCCGCTGCCACGAGTTTCGAGGTCCAGGGGAAGTCCAGAGAGGCCAAGAAAAAACCAAACAAGTTGTGCTAGATGCCCATAGGGACGTGTCCCTTGGCGATCCAACAGCACATTAAGCATAAACGAAGATCGATAAGCTCTAGGCTGGCCCGGGCGGAGAGTGTTGCAGGGCTGGCCCCTAGACTCCAGCTTCACTTCATTGGTTCATGGAGGATAGATAGGCAGATAGCCCTAAACCCTAAACAGACAGGCAGATCGATAGATGGATAGGTCTCCCGGATACCACCGGAAAGAGAGGCGAGGCTTCCATATGAGCTGTAGCCTAAACTCCCTTGGTATCCCCCTAAATAACCCCTATAGTAGTCCCCTATATAATCCCCTATATAACCCCCTTGAAGGAGTTTAGACTATAGTTCATATGCAAGTGAGACCATCTGAGAGCCTGGAATACGTACAGCTATAGAAGTCCTCAAGCCAGAGCAGTAGACCTTCAACCTGTAAAACCTAAAGGGCTGAAAAGTCTATGTGTGCAAAGCTTGAATCCTGAAAAGCCTTGCCCTTTGCGGTTTTTGATGCTAGCTCAGCTCAAAACCTTCAACCTGAATGGGCTAAAACAGCTAGGCTTTAGGACCCACATGTAGGGGTTGGCCTAGTCTTCTGATGAGAGTGTTTGTGTAGGCCTTTCTTCGAGGATACAGAGATCGTGCAGGGATTTTCCAGATTTCCTTGTGTCCTAGTAGTTCTGGCGGTACCTTCCTCAGCATAGCGTGGTACGGCTTGCCATGTTGAGGCCATGTTCCCAGTACAAAGCAACACCTTCTGCAGCTATCACCTGCGTTCGGCACGAATAAGGGCCAGCCCGCCCAAAGCTAGGGTTTAGGACTTAGGGTTTAGGGTTTAGGGTTTGGGGTTTAGGGTTTAGGGTTTAGGGGTGGATGTTTTGTAGCTTATTTGTCCCATGGCAAGAGGTCCTGACATCTGAAAGCTTAATCTCATATACCTCGAACTTAAAGAAGGCGCTAGGAAACCCTGAGACCTGGAACTCCTACCGTTCCCAAAGCCCCGCCCGAGTGACTAGCACTTCTACACCGGAAAAACGTGACTGAAGGTGAACATCTTAAGGGGTGGGCCTCTTCGGGATCCCGATATGGTACAATTATAGGGTTTAGGGCTTAGGGTTTAGGGTTACTAGTTACTAGTTCTGGTATTTTTTGATTAGGGGTCGAGCTGGGGTACTGTTAGGGAAGCGGATTCCGGAGTTGTTTGACAAGGCCCCTAGACACTTCTAGAGGGCTTCAGGGGTCATTTAGGGTTTAGGGCTTAGGGTCAAGGCTTAGGGTTTAGGTTTTAGTGTCAGCCATACTGGAGGGGACCCCTGACTTCCTCCAAATACTCCCAGGGACACGTCAGGATACCCTAAACTACGGCTTCATATGAAAGCCCTGCAGCCGAGGGACCTAGATACAGCGCCGCTTCTACATAGCCCAAAATATTTTTTTTACCTTTGTTATGAGGACCCTCAAGATGGTCGCTGATTTTTGCAACCCCCTAAACGCGCGAAGACTTCCAGGCGAAGGAGCAAGAGACAATGCTTGACAGGCAGTCGTGCTCTCAGCATGGCAACTTGCGAGCTGAGCTATAGACTCATCCGAGGATGGTGTACAGATCATGCTACCACTATGGGCTATTAGACCTTTAGGGTACCTTAATCTACCCTTAATAGGGTCCTAATAGGGAATTTTAGGGTCTAATAGCCCATGGTGGTACTCCACTTCCAAATAGTAAGAGTCATGCTGGCCAACTGCTGCCAAGCCAGCACAAAGCGGGGGCCAATATGCATGCTATTGTCGTCTATAGAGTCTAGGGTCTAGAGGCTATATATGGGTGGTTGTCAAAATTATGGTCCCTTTTTGGGTACCCTAAATATTAGGTTCCGTATTATAATAGGGATCCAAAAAGGGACCATAATTTTGACAACCGCCCATATATATATATAGATATATATTAAGCCCACCGGCCTCCAACGCAAAGAAAAGCATCTTAGATGTTCAACAAGGCACAAAGTATTTAGGCCCCGGACCTTGAAGTGAACTCTAAACCTTACACTCCCAAGACGGGAAAGGTCGTCATACCAGTGTATAGTCCCCATTAAGTAGATAGAATATGGCTTTGGGTACATGATAAAACCACCTAAGCCCCCTAAACCCCCTAAACCCTGAACCCTATATTCTATCCACTTAAGGGGGACGATAATTCGTTAACCCCCGGAGCAGCAACCCATCAGCCTCCGAGGCCTTCTCCGAACAGTTTTAAACATGTACATACTGAAAGCTGTTTTCAGGGTTTGAGGTTGAGGGTTTAGGATTGTGTTGTTTTAGGGTTTAGGGTTAGGTCTTTAGGGTTGTGGGTTCAAGGTTCAGGGTCTAGGGCTCAGCCCTGGCCATGGTGGCAAAAGGAGGAGTTAGCGAGCACACCAGAGGACCACCGTCCAAGCTCGCAAGGAACCCAGTGGGAAGTTCAGATGGACCAGAACCAAAGCGCAGTGTCAAGCCACCTCCATGAAAAGAGGCACCACCGCCAGCCAAGAAAGGAGGCGCTAAAGAAATCCCACCATGGAGGCACCTAGAAACACAGTGCAGACCAGAGAATGGCCCACTGTCGCTGCCCCGAAGTGTACCTGCGCATTTTCTGTTCAACTACACCTTTCCAGTTTTGATAGCGTCGGCAATTCCGGCGAGAACCTGGAGCAACTTTTGCATATCCTAAGCCCTGGAATCATAATCCTAAGGTCTAGCCCCTTAAGCCCTAAACTCTAGACCTATCAACCCTTAACCCTAAGGCCTAGCCACACCTCTTGGCCCCTTAGATTCCTCGCGGTTACCCTTTTGGCCTTTCAACCACCAGTCACTACGCCCCTGCAACCATGAAGGTATCCAATATCAAAGCGTTCCAGGCACCAGAGCCCAGATTCAATCCGCGCAGCATGAACCCTAGACCCTAAATCAAATCCTAAACCTTAAATTAACCCTAAACCCTAAATAAATTAAACCCGAAAACCCGAAACTAAATTAAGCCCTATAAACCCAACCTTAAACCCTAGACCCTTTATTCCTCTGGAAGATCTTGATAGTTCTCCCAAGATGGCTGTATTAACCTGGTTGTCCTGAGATGCAAATCCTAAACCCCAGATTTCCAAACCTTCAAACAAGACCGCAAGGCATGAAAGGAATATACGATGTAGGGTTGAGGGTCTAGGGTTTAAGGTTTAGGGTAGGGAATACGGGAAGATATTTTATGGGGTTATATGGGTATTCTACTCCTTTCTTCCAACCCTCAAGCCCTAACACACCCTAATCCGTCAAGCCCTACCACTCTAAAGCCATAAACCCCCTAAAACCTACTAAATCCTGAGCCCAAACGCCTCATCCTTAAATCCGGAAAAGTGTTGCCCTCAATTCCTAGAACCCAAATTTCCAACAGCCCTAAATCCTTCAAACCCTGGCTCCCAAAACCACAGAGGCTGAACTCCAAGAACCCCTAAATCCTTCAAGCCTACTTGAACGGGGACCCTATAACCCCTGTAAGCGTTATAGTAACCCGAGTTATCCCCTTAATTCAGCGACTCACCACGTCTGCCTGACCCTTCCAGTAGACACCTGGACCTAAAGCCCTAAACCTCAAACAAATCAAGCCCAAGGTTACCACGTAAGTTTAGGGTTGAGGCTAAAGATTACCATGTCCTTATGGAGCGGGGTCCAAGGAACCTTAGGGATCCTGGGGGAGTACTAGGGAGCAGTAGGGAGGATTGCTTTTATTGATATTACCGACGTATCCGGTACTTCGGGCCTTAAGGACATATAGTCCCCCTTAAGTAGATAGAATATGGCATTGGGTATATCATATACACCCTATAGTCTATCTACTTAAGAGGGACTATAACCCTAAACCCTAAACCCCCTAAACCCTAAACCCTATATTCTATCCACTTAAGGGGGAGCTATAGCAATAAGAGCTGAGGCATCAGAGCCAGCTCCAGCAACTGCAGGAATCCCTGGGCAACTTATGTTTGCTGTTTGGGGTTTAGGGTTTGGGATTTAGGGTTTAGGGTTTAGGGTTTAGGGCTTAGGGTGTAGGGTTTAGGGCTTCAGGGTGTGTACTGTAGGTGGACCCACCTTTTAACAGGGGTATAGTAGGTGTGCATATAAGAGGACCCTAATATGATCACCAGCCTCCCTTATAGTAATCACAGCTGGGTGGAGGGTCCACCTAATGTATACTACAGGTGTCCTAAGAGCATGTATGCACTGTTGCTGATTTTAAGCCCCCAGTCAACAGGTAACATGAATGCGTTCGATAGTTCCAGAGCAGATTGATAGAATCGTACAATTCGATCCCCTACAGTAGATTCCCAGAATAAGCCGTGTATAGCCGTTAAAGTATCTGATACACCTACATCCCACCATTACGTATTTCAGGTCTAGATCCCTTGAAAGCTTTTGGAGCTATGGCATGACCATGGCCTTGTCGAACAGGAGTCCTCCAACCGAGTACCATAGCCTTAAAGCCCTGAACCCTAATCCATTAAAACCCTACTCCCTAAACCCTTCAACCCTCAAACCGTAAAGCTTAAACCCTAAACCCCTAAACCCTAAAGCCATCTTCGGGGTAGGGGAACCCAGCTATAGACAGCTCTTCCCAAGATGGCCTTAAAGGGAGGTTTCCGCTCGTGTAAGCTACACGACTATATACTTACCAACCCACTCGAGTAGTATTCTGGGGATACTATGATACCCGAGTAGAATTATATCCTCCTTTGGGGTATAGTATTTTGTGTACAGAATATAGTCTTACTAGGTTCAACCACAAGAAAAGGCACTACTCATTTGGGGCTCTCCAAGTATGAATCATTCGTCACTCAGGACTCCGCACAGCGGCAGCTCAACGATTTGGATCGACAGGCTCCTCAAGCCCTAAAGATCGCAGCCAGTGTTGTAGGTTTGGGATGCAAGGGTTTAGGGGGTTAGGATTTGGGAGAGCGGTTTCAATCAAGGTCTTTCAAGCCTCCGGGCTTAAGCCCGCTGGAAGAAGATCCTGAGGCCAGTAAATGCCAAACCCAAAGTTTCAAATTCTTTCAAAGCCCATGACGCTTCCGCCTATGTCTAGATGTAGCTGTTTATCCGTGACTTTTGGCTACGTTGCGTTGTTTGATGTCTTGGCTGCTCTTGATGTTTGTATTACGTCCACGATTATTGCTGCTGTTGTAATTATTGTGGTTTTCCGCCCTTCACCTAGTGGTATAGTAAGAGTGCAATGGAAACCTGGTCAGTATTAATTAGGGCTTGGCGTCCTAGAAAGTTAGTGTTGTTGTCATGTTGGGAATTCCTGAGAGTAGTGATGGTAGCAGGAGGAGTGGTAGCAGTGGCATGTGTAGTCATGATGAGCCTACGTACTACAGACGCTTTAGTCCTCCCCAAATGCCGGGCTAGTTCGGGGACTCTAAACCATATACATTACACCTGTAGACTTGAAGGCTTCAGAGCTTGTTTATGGCATAGACTTTTCCATGCCCACTTCTCCTTCCTCCACTAACAACCAGCAAAAAAAGATTCTCTGGAGCCCTCAACCCTAAACCCTCAACCATATATAGTTTCCATTTCCTCTTCCATAATCCCAATATAACCCCAAAATAAACCCTAAGCCTCTCTGGAACCCATCCATTGCGACAGGCAGAGCTGTTGGTGCAGGCATGGAATGCTCAGGCGTGGCGCATGCAGTCGAGAAGCTGGACAAAGCAGCAACATGTAAAGTGTAGTCTTAACTCCTGAAAGGCTGGTTAAATAGGGGATAATATAGGGGACCATTATATGGCTCATCAAGGGGGCATACTAGGAGTTTAGACTATAGCTCATGCCAATTTCGTGCCATTCCTTCTTGAGTTTCTCATTACAGGACCTGAGAAACATGATCTGTCTTCTTCAGGGCAGCACAGGTAGCAAGAGACGAAACCCAACACCTGACCCTTCAAACCCTGAACCTAACAAAGTGGATAGCTGAACTTCCCAGAGTTTAGGTGTGTGTGTATATATATATATATGACGCGCATAATTCTCAGAACTACTATATATTTACGACAATCAAACCATACCACGGATGCAGTAAATGGATGTTCTCATGTGGTTGTATCTGGTATAGAAACGATCCTACAACGGCAGGCTTTGTATCCAAGGTCCCAGTAGAGGACGCGACTTCCATATTTATGCATGCCTTGTAAAGCCTAGTTACCCAAGATAATCGGCTACTTCAATCCAAAGTAGAAAATTACTGGAAAGTAGACCATAACTATGCGCCGCTGGCTTTCAAGGGCCGAGTTAGGCAACCCTAGGGGCATTTAAAAGAATTCCTGAGCAGCAACCTCCAAAGTTGCTGTGTAATCCCTGCTTATCCTCAAGATGCCTTGGGAACCAATCCTTAAAGAAACGCAAGCCCCCATGCCCTAAGTAGCTCCTTCCCCACCCGAAGGTTCCCAACTCTATACCCTAAACCCTGACAACTCGCCAATGGCCAGACCCTAAACGACCTGGAGGGTCAGGGGACTTGGTAAGTATACTTATAAATTACAACCCCTATAAGCCAAAGGTGCCCCCAGTTGTCCGCCTTACCAACCTACCTACTAAGTCCCCCTGAGTCTAGAAACCAAAGCCCAACACCCCCCTCCAAAAGAAAAACCCGTAAACACTAAACTCAAATCCCTAAACTCAAAACCCTAAACTAAAAACGCTAAACCTTAATCCCTAAACCTTCAACCCCAATGCCAGGAAGGACACATCGTGGCCGCTCAAAGTGATAGCCTGGCCCAGGAGTTTGGGCCTTGGAGACTCATAGCTGCCTCTTAGCTTACGATTTTCTAAGGACTTTAGGAGGGACTCCTAATAGGGACCCTTGTACCTTATGGGGATTAATATTTGGACATCCCAGGGATAGAGGGGTTGTATAATGACTATATAAGGCTTATGTGTGGTAATGGTTTTAAGGGTCCCTATTAGGGGTCCCTCCTAAAGTCCCTAGATTTAAGGTTTCGGGTTTGGGGTCTAGGGGGTAAGGTTTAGGGTTCAGGGTTCAGGGTGTAGGGTGTAGGGGGTAGGGTTTGGGATGTAGTAACGCCGTCTTTTGGGTAACTTGGCTTTTGGGGTTCAGGCTTTGGGGTCTTAGAGTTTGGGGCTTACCTGTAGGCCCGGTTGAGCGTCGCAAGTATCAACTGTAAACTTCCTTGTCTACAACCATGCGCCATAACTATGGTCAACTGCGAGGAATAGTAATATTGCTAAAGCAGCAGTGGTGTTAGTGGTGGTGGTAGCAGTATTAGTAGCAGTAGTAGCAGTAGTAGTAGCAGTAGTAGTAGTAGTAGTAGTACAGTAGTAGCAATGGGAGGAGGAGTAGTAGCAGCAGTAGTAGTAGTCATCCCAAGTCGGGCTCAGGGTTCTTCATCTGGGAGGCCGTAGAGTCTGGTGTCAGGCACCCAGAATTTCCAATAGCCTGAAACCTAGAAACACTTCTAAACCCTAAACCCCAAGGTTTAGGGTTTAGGGTAGATTGCAATCCAGGAGGCTTCGAACTGTCGACTCTACACAGAGTTTGGGGTTTAGGGTTCGTAGCCACAAGATTCGTGCCCAGCGAGTCGGGATGCCGTCCATCAATCTTCTTAGGGCTTGGGGTTGGAGATCTTGGGCTTGGAAACTCCAAATCTTGAACACTAGCCCTGATGTCTTCACCTTATCCCCACAACTGACCCATCGTTGAACATGATTTGGAATCGTTCTTGCACTCAAACCCAATAAGGCATATGAAAATGTGCGTTGTTTGTAGTATGCCAATATTAGCCATCGTCTAAACTCCTTACATAGGGTTACATAGAGGATGATCTGAGGGAGTATTATAGGTGTGACTGAGGGGGATAATTGGGAGTTTAGACTACCACCCTGGGCTATGTATGAGACCCTAAAATTCCCAATTAGGACCCTCTTGAGGGTAGATTAAGGTACCCTAAAGGTCTAATAGCCCATAGTGGTAGCTCATAGGGACCCCGTAAAGCTCCAGAATCGCTGGCCAAGGTCGTGGAAGGTGCGCTTGCTGTGGATTTGGGAGATCTCCTTTTTGGAGCTTATGGCAAAAGCATGGTGTTTCCAAAATGGGACGAGATGGGACTACAACAGGATTATGAGGGTGCATCTATAGGACTCTGGAGAGGTTATTTTTCGGAGGAATTCCCATGAATGAAGGGTATGTACGCCAGCTTTGGCACATGCGCAGCTGCTTTTGGGGTTGGAAAGCATACCCCTGGCTTTGCTATCCTGCTTGGGGTAATAAGGAGCCTGTCGTTCAGAACGCGTTTCAGTAGGGGTCTACTTGTTATAGTTGCAGTATTATATGAGCTACTGTCTAAACTCCTTAAAGGGGGTTATCTAGGATTATAATACAGGGGAGGAATCTGGGGCATATCAAGGGGGATACTCGGAGTTCAGTTTGCGTTCCATGGCATGAAGCAAATGCTTCATCATCGCCGAATGAAGCTGGAGGATTTGCAGAGTTGTTGAAACCTTTTCCTTGTGCTGTTGCGTATTGGCATATTGTACAGCTTCACAACATTGGGATGTCAAAAGTGCGACTTGGAAGAAACCAAGGGTACTCCGCAACAAGGTGATAACCAGGAAGAAGGGAGGAGCTCCCAGAAACGACCTTATCAACTGTAGATGGACAAAGGCCTGCATTGCATGATGCTGTACACCTGGTAGCATCCTAATTTGGAGTGATCTACAAAATCCCCTACCCCCACAGCAGATTTCTTGTGCGTCAGCTTTTAAAAAAATGAGCCCAAAACTTGAACGTTTGACCCCTCAACCCTGAACCCCTACAGCCTACCCCATTACAACCCTTTCACAACATTTCTGGAAGTTAATGTCAAGGCTGGTCTCCCAGAAATATCGTACCCTCACAATCCTGTTAAAGTTGTAGTGTTATATGAGCTACTGCCTATATTCCTTGAAGGTGGTTACATAGGGGATTATATAGGGAAGCATTGTGAGGATTATTAAGCGGGATACGAGGAGTTTAGACCTAAACCCTAAACCCTAAACCCTACACCCTAAACCCTATATCCCCAAAAATTCCCTACTCTACTTCTTTCTCAGAGCAGGTGCCCAGCGGCGGGAGCATGCGATTAGCCTGGCCTGGTACCCCCCAGGAGCGGCCCTCAGCTGAGTAGCGCTCAGTTTAGGGGTTTAGGGTTTAGGGTTTAGGGTTCAGGGTTTAGGGTTTAGGGTTTAGGGTTTAGGGGTTTAGGGGTTTAGGGGTTTAGGGTTTAGGGTTTACGGTGCTGGGCTTATAGTGTATAGGATAGGCCCGCGTAGTAAAAATGAACAGCTGACATGCAACACTTGGCAACCCCAGCCCCCAACATTTGGACCCCATCATAATGATCATATGACCATACTACTTAGTGTCTCATTTTGATCGTCTTTGTTCCTCTTGTCATCTGCTTCAGAGGTACAAGTTGCCCAGGTCATTTTTGGCAACAACCCTGCTTGTTCATCCTCAAATGCCACTGAGGAATAGAAGTAGATAGTTTCGTAAGATCGCGAAAGGAACTAGTGGAGTTTTTCCATGTTTGGGGGATCTGCGGTATGCCTTGCCGGAGGCGGTTGGACCCCGCTCTGTACTTTGAGTTTGAGTCCATTGAGTAGTTCATTCAGTCAAGTTGCAAGCGAAACCTACTGCAGCTTCATGATGGACGCCTTTGGGCCTAGACAGCAGAAGGCGGCAGAAGGTGGCAGCTAAACTGGGGTTGAAGCTAAGGACAATAAAACTTACTGGTTCATAGTAGGGAAAAAGAAAATATAGGATTTATACGTGGAATATATCCCGTTACTCCCTACTAAGAACCAGTAAGACAAATTGGCTGGCTGGTACGCGCACCCACTTGACATGAGATACAACATTGGCAAGAACAATTCGGAGTGGCTCTTGGTCCACATGACATGTTTGACGATGTTGTTGGATCGTCTGGTACCGAGAGTGCTAGATGCTGCAGGCAGTCTTGCTCAGGAACGGCAGCGGGTCCAACCATTATCCCAATATAACCCCAATATACTATAGTAGTTTCCATTTTCTTTTCCATTATCGCAATATAACCCCAATATACTATAGTAGTTTCAATTTTCTTTTCCATTATCCCAATATAACCCCACTTTACTATAGTAGTTTCCTTCAGAAAGGTGGTCTCCATTGAGGGCTTTTATGGTCCGAGGTTGGTGTTGTAGGATTGGAAGGTTTCAGCCAGTGGGCTTTGCTAATCTTGCACAACATCCAGGGCTGCCCCTGGAGCGGCAGCGACAGGGGGATACTCTCATTACTATGTAAGCCATAATCTAAACTCCTTAAAGGGGGGTTATATAGGGGATTATATAGGGGACTATTATCGGGGCTATTAAGGGGGATACTAGGAGTTTAGACTATAGCTCATGTAATGGGA